TCTAGGGAAGTGGCTATCAAGGTCGACCGAGTTAACGCGGGATAATGGCTTCTGCTCCTCGGTGTGGGCTGACTTGCTGGCATTCTTGGGCGTGATGTTGATTGACTTTAGCACCTTGGTGGCCGCCTCGAAACATCTTATGGCAGCTGTTAGTTCCATGATTCTATGATTGTCCATGGTTCTATGATTGACTAAATTTTGGTAAAATAGGATTCTACACTGATGTTAATCAAGATGTTATAACATCTTCATCTACTATTTTGACATTACTGTTGTCATGTGTTTTAATCAAGATGTCGAGACATAACTATTGTCATGTGTTTTAATCAAGATGTCGAGACATAACTATTGTCATGTGTCTTAATCAAGATGTTGAGATAGATGTCGTGACATTTTTGGCTGGTATAGCAGGAGCTGCTATTTCATATCTATTGACATAGGTGTTTTGGTTTGATGAGATCCCGTTGGATATACCTCATCAGTATGTGCAGATTTAATTGGATTTCATTAAAAGGATCTTTGAGACTTTTTAGGAAACTATAAAATATTTGTTTCTACTATTATGAAGAAGATTATGTAGAAGATTTGGAGTTTGACCTGATTGGCAGGCATTTTGGTAAAACTAGGTGTAATCACAAGATGTCCTACAAGATATCGTGACATCTGACTGTCATGAATATGTTTGTGTGTTCATATCTTTTTGTGCAAGTTGGCTGCACTTTTCTGGTGCAAAATCTGCGTGTTTTTAGTGGCTTACTATGGGCGTTTCCGATACACTTATTGTGGATCAGATTGGATTTGATTTGGAGTTATTATTAGAGGTTTGATTGAAGATTGGAAGAATGATATGATTAGATTTGATTGATCAAATCAAATCTATTGCAATTTATAAAGATTGAAATCTTCTCTTTCTACTGTTATTTTTTACCAGCCTAAACCCAATCTGCATTACTATTTAAGGAGGCGAAAACCTTAGTGAAGATAAGCATTCACAACAAGAAGATCTTAAGTGCAAATAAGGGTTTAGTGTTTTGAGAGTCTCTTGTGTGTTTGACTTTGTAAGTCACCCTTTGTATCTTTGGATGCATCGTGGTAGACATGTTTAGGCTGTAAGTTGTTATTTGTTAATTGTTAATTGTTCACTCGAAGCTTTTAAGCAAGAATGTATTGTTCTTGATTGAAGTTGTTAAGCAAAATCAAGTTGTGACTTTGAAGAGTGTCTTCTAAAGTATTTTTTTGTTGGTATTGGATTGTTATCGTTGCTGTGATTATGGGGAGTGGGAGGTGTCTCTTGTCTAGTGGATTCTAGGCAAAAATTGCATTAGATAGGGATTGTAAACTGGGAGTTTAGCTCTAAATTAATATAACTGATAGTGGATTTCCTTCCTGGCTTGGTAACCCCCAGATGTAGGTGATGTTGCACCGAACTGGGTTAACAATTCATTGTGTTATTTATCTTTCAACATTTACAATTCTGCACAATTTAAATGGTTAGATAAATAGTTCTGTCAGTCTGCAGATGTTACAACAGATGTCATGACACTGTTAATTTTTAAAGGGATTTAAAATGACCATGTTCTGTCCTTGTTCTATATTAGAAGAGATTTATGTTCTTAACATCTCTTAGGACATCTGAGATCTGCATACCAGAATTTCAGCAGCTTTGATGTCCCCGTGCAGAGTGACGATGCGACCCCTGGTCGTGTAGTACTTCATCTTCAGGTGGATGATGGATGATGCTAAAGTTAGCTTAGACAGGGTTGGCCTTCCCATAATGCACTGGTATAAAAAGGAGCAATATATCACCAAAAAGCAGACCATGACCTTCTTGGCAGTCTCCTCGGACTCGAAGGTGACGAGCAAATCAACATAGCCCCATGGCCTTGTGATGGTGCCATTGAAGCCCTGCATGTCGGAGCCAACATACGGGGTTAGATGGTTCTCATCAAGCTGGAGGGTGGTGAACATGTGAGCATACATTATGTCAACCAAGCTCCCCTGGTCGACGAGGATGCGGCAGACATCGAAGTTTGCCATTTGGGCTTAGATCAGCAGAGGGATATTGGAATTGAGGGCATCGCCCGATAGCTCCTCGAGGTAAAAGGTGATCAGATTAGAGTTTCCAATGAACCTGTTGAGGGTGGCGTTCTGCTTCGAGCTTTTGTCGATTAGCTCGCCAAACTTCCTTTTGAATGAACCCACAGAGAGTTTGTTGAACCCTCCTCCGGATATGACCATCGCGGTAGGGAAGCTCTCCCACGGGCTAGAAGCGGACAAAGGGGTGTCGGTCTCGAGGGGGGAGGAGAAGTTCTCCAGCTGGGAGATTTATAGAGCGACCTGCAGCCCAATGTCATCGGAGGGTGATGTCACCTCCTGATCTTCTTCGCCTGCGCATTTCCTGTTGAGGAGCCTCGTTCCTCCGAGTGTATTGCTTCAGGTTCCCTTCCTTGATCAGGATTTTGATGGCAACCTTGAGATGGATACAATCTTCCGTGACGTTTTCATGGCTCATGTGGAACCGACAATACTTGCACTTGTCGACGTTGGGTTTGGATGGTGTTGGCTTCGAAAAGAGGACCCACCTTTCTAGGATTCCAAGTTGATGCACTCGACCAAGATGCACTCGTAGGGAGCAGTGAGTAGCGTGTACTCAGTGAAACAGCCTACTGGCCCCCAGTGTTCTCGGGAGACACGGGGTCTGTCTTCTCTTCTCTTGTCCTAGCCACATCGGGGAGCAACTGATTCTTCGTGCTTGGAGACTTTGGCACTTTCCTGGTTCCGCGAGTCGCGGGCGCTATTGGCGGCCTCCTTTTCATCATATTGGACATAGGAATGGGCCTTTTGGAGGAGTTCGTCTAGTGTGTCGGGCCTTTCGATACCATCTGCCTTGGAGAAATTGCTGTGGGGTCACAACCCTTGCTCGATCAGGTATCTCTTCATGCTGTCTGTTATGGACACCTGGACGGCTTCTCGATTGAATATCTATATATGTAGTCCCGAAGAGACTCGTCCTTCCTCTGAATGATAGCCTCTATGGATGCCTCCATTTTCGCATGTCGTCGAGAGGCGATGAAGTGCCTGGAGAACTGCCTCTTCAACTCTTTCTAGAAAGTGATGGATTCGGGCTCGAGGCTCTTTTACCATGCCATCGTGCCTTTCCTCAAGGTCGTCGAGAAGAGCCAACATTTTATGGCTCCCGAACATTACGGTGGTCGAACATTACATCGATGCTCTCAATGTGGTCGTCCGGGTCGATCTTCATGATGACCCTGGACAGCGGAGTACGAGGGTCATCCTCGTCGCTCCTTATGGGTTATTGTGAGGGGGAAGGGTCATACTGAGGGCTCATGCGGCAGCGTGGAGGGCCCCTCGGCCGAGTCTTCGACTTCCCCATCTGTCCATCGACTTTGCTTCTCTTATGATCCAGGGAACGTCGGTCCTTTCGGGGAGGGTTGTGGTCGCGCTTCTGGATCACTACGAGCTAGAGCCTCTCTAGTCGTGGGCGAAGTCCATGTTGTCGCGACGAGGGGCTTTGAGATTCGTCCAGGTGATGTCTCCGCGGGGGAGAAAGGGACATGTTTCTCGCCGTCTCGGGGACGGTTGCGAGAAACTGGGCGTCTATGTCTCCATGGGAGAGAGTGTGATTTCCGTTCCTTTTCCAACATTCTGATCCGTTCGTTCTGTTGGAACATCATCAGGTTGTCTGGTTGATCTCCAGGGACAAGACCACCATGTTCAAGTCGGCATCGGGCGACACATGAGTGGGTTGGAAAACGACAGGACTGTTGAACCGTTGGACGACATTGTCGGCCGCATCGTTGGAGGAAGGAAAGGTGGTGCGCCCGTCCTTGTGGTCACCCTCCTCGACGGGGATAGCCATGTCGGAATTATGGTCGTCGCTATTGGTGAAGGTGGTGAAAGCAGTTACATGGAGGTTACCGTCAACGCGTGGGCTGGCCATGATCGATGAAAGTTGAGATGTGCTTTGGTTCTTTGATTTCTGAGGAAGAAAAAACGGGGAAACAAGAGATTCCCACAGACGGCGCCACTGATCTTACCGTACCAGAAAGAGATCAACAGCCAGCAACGCGTCGTGACCTCCTAGTTCGTCGGTGTTGGAGAAGAGGAGGGGGTGTACTTGCAAGGCACTTCGATGCTAAAGTAAGTTTCAGTGGGAGAGAGAAAATAAGTACATAGAAATGGAGAGAATATAATATCTGACCTCTAGTGAAAAAGGTATTTATAATGTGCCTCAGTGCTGCACCAACGGTTATTTGCACTGAGTTGGATCAATAGACCCAATACGAATAACTGTCAGGATCTACGTGGCGTAGGGAAAATCAACACATGGTCTTCATCCTGGTCCAACTGTCCCGTGAACTTCGGGAGATAGATGACATGTTCTCTCGGACGCGGGTAGTTGGCTGATGACATATCCCCGCGTGGGGAGCTCATGGAAACCGTAGGAGAGACGCGTGAGAGCTCTCCGTGTGAAATGATGAATTAGGTCTTCATTGAACCCTCCCTAACAAAGACTTAGATTGGATCTTGCTCGATGGTAGGACAACATCTAGCCCAGTCTAAAACAAATACTTTGATAAATAATTCACATTACTAGCTTAAAATAAATATTTCTAAATAATAATAAAGAATTTTCTTATTTATTATAACACTTACATTATTTATTTTGTTTTTGTTGTTTTGGGTCTCATGCGCTCAAAATTTCTATAAATTGTTATAATTGATTCACATTCTTTAATCAAAATTAAGTGCATCACCTAAAATAAAGATCCAAAAATAAGTTGGATTGAAGTTAAAGATGAACTAAAAAAAACTTTATATTCCAATTTTTAAATTGAATTAATTAAAACAACAATATTAAATATGGAGTAAAAAAGTTTGATTTTAAAATAAGAGAAACATAATGAGAAAAATAGAAACCCTAAATCAAATTATATTGCAGCAACATCAACTTCTTCCCTCTCCGTTTCCGTGTCAAAATGTCGTCGTCACTGATATCGGATTTTCTCCATCAAGCCGGCGGAGCTGCCGTCATCGACGGCGGTTTAGCGACAGAGCTTGAAAGCCATGGCGCCGACCTCAACGACCCCCTTTGGAGTGCCAAATGCCTCATTTCTTCCCCTCACTCTGACCTCATTCGCCAGGTACACTTCCTTCTTCACCCTTATCGTTAAACTTCATTTCGATTAGCCTATTTTTTAATGCATTTTTCATATATCATTGATTTATAAACTGTTATTAAATTAGTTAATTATTTAACTTAATCGAATGATGCTATGATCATGTTTCCTATGGAGCAGGTGCACCTTAATTACTTGGAAAATGGTGCAGACATTATAACCACAGCATCTTATCAAGTTAGTTCTGTTTACTAAAAATGTGTTGTCTATGTAGTTCTGTATTTTTCTATGTAGCACCAACGCATGTTGGTCGGTGTCGGACACCTGCACTGACACTGTTAAGTTTAATTTATTCATTTTTTAAAATTATCACAGGTGTCGTTGTGTCAGGGTCGTGTAAAGGGTGTCCATGCTGAATCATAGGTGTTTTTGCTTTTTGTTACTAATAAAAGCTGAAGCTGAGGTAGTTGTTTGTAATGTTCATAGGCCACTATTCAAGGTTTTAAGGAAAAAGGGTTTTCTGATGAAGAAGGTGAAAACATGCTAAGAAGAAGTGTTGAAATTGCTCGCGAGGCTCGCGATTTGTATTATGAAAGATGTGCTGCGAGCTCTTCGGGTGATGAGACTGATGCTAGAATCCTCAAGCGACGGACAATCCTGATTGCAGCATCTATTGGGAGCTATGGAGCTTTTTTGGCCGATGGATCAGAGTACAGGTGAAATGCCTAAGATCTCTGGAATTGAGTAACATTTGTGTTTTTTTACTTCCAACTTGTGCCATTGAGTATATTTCTTATATTACCTATGATATAGTTCATTTATTGATTAACAATCAAAATGATATTATGATACTGTATGTTACTTTTCTGAGCTTGCGTGTTTAACTTGGTATTAGTTATTTTGGCTCAAAATTTTGCACATAACAGAGTAGTCATTCCCAGAAAGTAACAGTGGCGCGGGGTGGCCAACCCCAAAAGTGGGATAGCCTATAGTTGGATGACTGCTCTATTTGATCATTTTTTGGACAAATTACATATAATAATTATAAAGTTATATTTAATGTAAAATTAAACAAATAACAACTCATAAAATATTCATAAATCAAAGCACACGTGACTCCGAAGTGCATAAATGATTATGATGGAAGGTTAAGGTTGAGTCTCAACTAAAATTTGATTGAAAAACCCAAAATTACCCTTAAAACATTGTAAATTTAAGGGTAATTTCGGTTTTTTAGAGGGGAGAAGGGTAGCGGGTCTGAAACCGCTCCGGGCAGGGAACTGCTATGCTCCGCTATCCCGTTATTTACCCTATTATAGCGGCCGCTATAGTGCTCTGCACTGCTAAGGCTCTTCCCATAGCAGTCAGCCTCCGCTCCGCTATTGGGGGATAGCGCCGCGATTGACTGCTATTGACTACTCTGGCACATAATAGAAACAATATCAGAAGGTTGTCTGAAATAAATGTGTTCATCTTGCATGTATGTTTTGGAGTTTTTTTCTTTATCAAATAGAATGATTAATGTTTTAGAAAGCTTTAGGTTTGATCAACTTTTGCTGCTATTCTCAGCACTTATGAAAATCATATTTTTCACAATTGCTATGCTTATTGACATGTTCTTGGCAGTGGGATTTATGGTGATGCTATCACATTGGAAATTCTCAAAAAATTTCATAGAAGAAGAGTTCAGATTTTGGCAGATTCAGGTGCAGATCTGCTTGCATTTGAAACAATTCCAAATAAGATTGAAGCTCAGGTATCCTAGAATCTTTGGAAAGTCAAATGCTAAATCTACCCTCTGATATTTGTATTTGTTCTTTTAGAAGAATCTTTTTGTTTGTCTATCTCCTAAAATCAACGGGGCATTAATTGTTTGTTCCTCCAACTCTACCCTCAATATTAATAACCCAGTGAGTAGATCGATAGAATGATAACATATTTTGATTTAAGTATTTCATTGAGGGGGTAATTCAGTCAAATGAACTCTGCAGGCTTTTAACCGAGGCTATTTAACAACATCCTTAATTCTTGTTCAATAATCGATCTTCGTTAAAAGATAGATAAAGATGGATAGAAGAACTCAAAGATATGTATGGTTTCTAGAGAGGAATTCAGATTGGGAGAGAACTGGGTATTTTAAGAAGCATGGAGATTGTTTCAGTATCTCCATACTGCAGTACAGTACATTCTACCTCTTCCAACTCTACGATCCCCACCGCCACCAGTGTAGATTGGAAAATAGGGATTTCTCAATAAAAAATCACTCTTTCTTGATTCATGATCCAGTATCTATTAAACTTGCAAAACAAGTGCATAATAAACAAGAATCTAAAGGGAAATAATAAGCTTGGACATTCAAAAAAATTTAAGTCTCCACTTACAATTTCATTATGGTCTTGTCTAAGCAGGCTTATGCAGAACTTCTGGAAGAAGAGAACATAAAGATTCCAGCATGGTTTTGCTTTAACTCTAAGGATGGAGTTAATGTTGTTAGTGGTGATTCTCTAGAGGAATGTGGCTCCATTGCTGAATCGTGCAACAAAGTCGTTGCTGTTGGAATCAACTGTACCCCACCTAGATTTATACACGATCTTATACTTCTGCTTAAGAAGGTAGAACCTTAGTTTTCTCTTTTTTAACTGAATATGCGGGTTAATTGTTGAACTTCTTTCTTATTCGTGCATCAAAATATTTTGTATCAAACAACCTTGGGAATTTTATTAATTAATGCATTTTCACTTCCCCAAGAGCCTGTATCTATTTTTCCTAGCTGCATCTCATTGAAAAATCATATACTATTTGGATGGATAAAAACATTAGTGGATTTTAATTTGCATATAGACCTATAGGTTAAATAATTGAATATGTTTTTGTTAGTCTGTCATTTTTTGTTAATTAAAATGGCTCATGTAAACGGAGGCTTCTTTGACTATAAGACTAAACATATACACGGATTCGGTCTTCATGATCATGAGCAACTATGTCTTTTGAGATATTGACAAGGAATTTTTACTTGTTTTATTTGCTACTTTCATTAGTTTCATGTTAGATAATATGTCAGTGTTCATAAATTACTATAGCTTTGAATTTATCTGGGCAAAACACACTGCCCTGATTCACATAAAATTTATTCAGGTGACTACAAAACCAGTTGCTATATATCCAAATAGTGGGGAAACTTATGACGGTGATCGAAAGGAGTGGATGGTAAGTTCATTTCATCTGGTTGTACTGTTGCATTTTATGTTATTAAAAGATTGGCTGTCATCTCTGTCTTTAAAATTCAACAAAGATCAATTATCGAAGATAAAAGCTGTACTATTTATATTAAATTTGAACCAATATACAGTGGAAAATTTGATTGTGGAAGTTATTTTGCCTGAAATATAGAAAGTTGTATGCTGTCAAATAAAAGAAGAGTCAAACTTAAGTAAGATTTTAATCCGTGTGTGCCACTGTGCCCAACCCTTTTTTTGACCGTGAAATCATCAACAACAACTAAATCTTATTCCACTAAGTGGGACTGGCTACATAGATCAACTTTCACGATAATGTTCTATCAAGGACTATACTTCTATCCAAATCATTAATCTCGAGATCTTTGTTAATAACTTCTATGGTTGTCTTTCTAGGTCTTCCCCGTCCTCTAATTGTTTGCTTTCTCTCCATCTGATCTACCCTCCGTACTACATAATCTACTGGTCTTCTCTCTACATGCCTAAACCACCTAAGTTTATTTTCTACCATCTTCTCTAGTATAGGCATTACTCTGACACTTTAATATTTTCATTTCTAATTTTATCCTGTCGAGTCTTATCATACATCCATTGCAACATTCTCATCTCTGCCACACTTATTTTATTCTCATGTTGATTCTTCACCGCCCAACATTCTGTCCCGTACAAAATCGTAGGTCTTACCGCATTCCGATAAAACTTTCCCTTCAACTTAAGCGGTACCTTTACATCACATAAAACACCTGATGTCCTTTTCCATTTCAACCACCCAGTTTGAATTCGACGATTTACATCTCTGTAAAATCATTCTATTAATTATTATTTAAATAGTAAAATTGATTCAGAGACTTGTGTAATTTGTCACTTATTGCATAATCGTTCTTTAGAAGCTGGAGTCTAAGGTAGCATTTATCCTAGTTTCTATTAAGTTACTTTAAAGATAAACTTTAATATGAGCTTAGAAGTTATCCGGTACATTATTTTTTTTTTGAAAGTTTTGGTAAAATGAAAAATCTTAAACTAGCCATTATTTTCAGCCTTCATTTCTCGACATTCCTTTCTTCAACCGATCCAGCTGGACTGCTGTCCTCAGGGCTCTCATGCGAACTTGAGAAATACTTAAAAGGTCTTTATTGCTTGAAAAATACTTCAAAGGTTTGAATCATCCTGCATATTATTGATTTGACAGGCTACAAAAGAGAGGCCCTCTTATATTATTGTACACGAGCCCTAATAAATAACAATTAAATAACAATGAAGAATAAGAAAATAATATGGCCTAACAATGACACAGTCTTGGAGTTATGTGCAGAACAGAAAAAAAATAAAAAGAAAAAAAATTCTATATTAATAAAATCCTAATTACAACAAAAAAGAAAACCGAAAGAAAGTAGGCCAAACACTTCACAAGTGTAAGTGGTAGTGTAGTACGAGTAGGTGTTAAAAATTTAGAATGACAGATTTCACGTCCTTTTATTAATTAATTATTAATTATTGTATATATAATTACAAGTTTGTAAGTAAGATAAAGAAGCTGATGCCAAGATCAGGATCCGTCTTTCTGTTTCTTAGCTAGGTGATAGTTTTGTAGAGAGCTTCGAATGTAAATTCATATTGGAAAACTAAACTTCATAAACTAGTGAGATGCGATATCATATACCATTTTGGACATTGTTCAAATAGATGAGTTATTACTTAACCTTGTTTAGCCAGCGGAATTCTAAATTTCCTGGAACAATGTTAAGGAGTGTATATAGCATTGAAAACATGATTAATTAATCGAACCTATGTGGACTTGAAATAAATAAAAGTGAAAGTTTGTGTGACATTTCTTTATTTTTGAACAACAACATTGCATCAACTCTACAACATATAGTTAACATTGAAGAAATATATTACAAAAACAAATAGAATAGAGTGGTTTCTTTTTGTAAAATCAAAATAATGAAGCAGGAACTGTGAAAGCCTGTAATACATTTACTGATGACACTTAGTAGAAAGCATCCAATGGGAAAGCTTTTGATACATTTACTAATGACACTTAGCAGAAATCATTCAATGGTGATCACGAATGTCAAGATTGACCCAAAATCCCCCTTTTCTTCCTTCGCATGAACAAACCAATTCACTAAAACTCAACACAATCAAATCACTTCATTATCTACCTACTAATTTGATACTACAGGTAGAAATGAGCTGGAAACTGCATTATTTACCTACAGATCGATTTAAAAACCTTACTCTTGGAGGCACAATTTTACCGTAAATCTCATTAATTTCACTTAAATTCATTCGTTTCTCAGAAATTTTCTCCTTCTCTTCCTCCACTTTAGCTAGTGTTCCTTCAATTCTTGAACCTCTAAAATCATCACCTCTTGAAACCCAAGAGCTATTATCATTAATTATGATGTGTTTTGTGCAGTGAATGTACCTCTTTTCAGACCTGGTCTTAAATAGTTTGTCCATCTTAATCTGCAAATCTTTCCACATCTCTGCACTCCTAAATAAACATAGCAAACAAAAAATATTATATAAGATTTTAAATCACGATTCTTGATATTGCAAAGAATTACATTAAAATTTATTCTCAATCGCAACTACAATTGCATTGGTTTCCCATTATATTTACAACTGCAATTAAACAGTGAATCCTTACATTACTGTAAAATGCAGACAGATATTACTGATACGGTTGCAATTAAGTTGCACTATTATTTGTAGGTCAAAGACCACTAAAATTGTTATACAACTGCAATTTAGAACTATAGTAAGAGACACCCACTCATGGTGAGGGAGAAATGCCTACAAATCTTCTTCGGGAGACCATAATCCTCTTTTGATCTTCTGTTTGCTGCAACAATGATGCCCCGTGTCCCAAAGCACTCTTGAGAGAAATTTTAGCATGAGGTTTTGGGAACTTCATTTATAGCCATACAAATTCTATAAGCTTCATGCTTAAAAGAGATGAGATGCAAATTTTACTGCATAAAAGAGTATCATAAGCAATCACTATTTTGAACAACTACCACTACCTGCACTTATACTAAAAAACAAGGAGAAATGATAAGCTTCTAACAATGCCTACAAACACCAGCCCCTCAATTCTATAACAGTATGGAAACTATAATGAAAGGAAAAAAAAATTAACTTTAATTATAATGCGAAGTCTACTCATAAATCTGAGTTCCACAAAGAATACTTTTGACACTTCTGTTAAGCTTTTCCAAACTTACAACCCCTAAACTTTTGATAACTATGCCATAACTTAAGATTAAAAAAACTATGAAGTACAAATATGTTGGTAAGAGTTTTATTGTCACTATTATATTAATATTCTCTTTCTAGGAAAGCATGATAAAGCTTAACAGAAGAACTCTGCCAACTAATTTAACGTAAATGATCTATGACCTAAAGGTGACACAAGGAAATGAAATAATCGTGTTAGATTGAACATTCTTGAAAAAGTCTTGCACACCTCCATCTAAAAGTATATTCTCTGGCTTCATGCAAAATTCTAGATCTACAATCATTATAAAGATAACTGAATGCTTTAGAAACACCAATAGCAATATTATACATTAAATTCCAAGGTAAATAACCAAAACGATGTGTCCTTATTTTCTTCATAGGAAAAATTTAACAATCTAATGACCCATCTGGAATAAAATCATATACAAGATATCTAGTGGTGTTGAATAATTAGAGTAATCAAAAAGTCTTTCAAGTTTAACACGTTGAAATACTAGAAATAACTGAAACTTCTGATCTGAATTCTCTCTCACCTCTTTCTTCACCATAGATTCTTTTCATAGGAATTGAAGTTTTATCGTTTAAAATGCCTTTGAAAACTGAAGCCGGCGACCCTTGACCAATTATTGCTTGAAAATTATTGGTGTCTTCTTCAAGCTCCTTGTCTCAAAACTTTGATGAAATTCCTGCAACGTTTTTTAAGAAATTGTACTCAATTTGAAGCTAAACTAAGTAGTTTTGACACAATTTAGTCGTTGTGCTCTATTTAGTCGTCCTGCCGTGGACATCCCCTTCCTTGTTAATTTATCTTAGTTTAGAGTCTCCGCACTCTATGTAGGTGTCTTGCCGCAGACATTTACTTGCCCCCTGAAACCTTGATTATCTTGATTTCACACAATTTAGGTTAACCAGTAGTTTTGATTTGGGAAATTAAGGGGCAAATGAGGATTAAGGTTCAAAGGAAACAGAAGCGTGAAATGATGTTAGGGTACCCGATAACTGGTCCGTATTGGATTATGGGTCAGTGGTTTTAAATTTTAAATTTGGGCTGGGTTTTAAAATTTGGATCAGTTTGGATAATAATTTGGTTAATAAAAATCGGTTTATTTGCGCACCCCTAGACCTAACCTTGAATTGTTTATCTAGTTTATTGCGATTTACAAGTATATGGACCTTATGCTTTGTTAAAGTTTATAAGTAATTCATATAGCATATGCCAATATTTGTGAGAGACTAAATACCTCATGGAGACAACTTATTAGAGATTTAGTCACTTAAGAGACAGTAATATTTTGAGATATTTCTTAAATTACGTGATACTGATATTAGGCGGTTCCGTTGCAGCAAAATACAGGCGTTACAGATGAAGATTTTGTCTCGTATGTTAGTAAATGGTGTGAGTTAGGGGCTTGCCTTATAGGTGGCTGTTGTAGAACAACTCCCGTTACCATCAGAGGGATATACAAGACACTATACAACTGTCGATCTGCTACTCTTGCTAAAGAGTGACTGTCCCGAATTCAGAAAGGAGGTAAGTGTGCAAACCAGTCTAAACTTACAGGTCAAGAATGCAAGCAGCTGCAATTGGTCATGTTGCTGCTACTTTGGGCCGAGAGGGGAAGATAAACATGGCTTAGCTGCGCTAATAATATGGCAGTGACATTTTCTTTTCGACACGCATTAATTCGAGTGAAGGAGAATGGCTTTAAATCATCAAAAATTTACAGGTTATTGTAACTTGGAACATAATTTGCCATTGAATTTGAAGCTAGTGTCCGGATAATAGCATTCTGTGGACATTGCACTCAACTAGAAGGAAAAGATGTTTGTGTTTTGATTTTCTTTTCAATTTTGAAAAAAGAAATGGCCATTAATTACTGGTACTATTTTTCTTTTATAAACATAGTACTGCATTTTTTATACTTCACACAACTCGTGGGGCAACAAAATGACGTAGGGGGGGGCACGATTGGATTTGTTTTCGTAAGCAAATTCTATTAAAATATAGATCAAAGTCTAAGTCCTAACCATAAAATGGTAATATGGAAAACTGACTTAGGTTTTTGAAATCATGTTTGGCATGATGAAAATATAAATTCACTGTTATCTTTTATTATTTTATTCCAAAATATTTAAGTTCATTATTATATTCTTTTAAATTGGAATTAATTTATAAATATATAGTATAGAATTAAAACTATAATCTCAATAAATTCTGATATATGAATATTATGAAACTGAAATTTAGACGAGTTTATTTGATATAGATATTGAAACTAGGGGTGGAAACTGAAACTGAAATTTAGATGAGTTTATTTGATATAGATATTGAAACTAGGGGTGGAATCAGGCATTTCGTCCTGTTTAGACCGTCTTGCAACAAAATGTCTGTGTCCATGAAAATCTTTTAAGTTTAAAACTACAAAAGATCAGTGAGTACTTTTAAGTCTAAAACTATAAAATATCCTTGCCCATGAAAATCTTTTAAGTCTAAAACTACAAAATGTCCGTGCCCATGAAAATCTTTTAAATCTAAAACTACAAAATGTCCGTGCCCATGAAAAACCAAAAGAAAAAAAAAAATAGAACGGAACAAGTCGAACATGTTCAAAGTCGGCATAAACACTTAACCCATAGGCAAAATAAACATGTTCAATAGTTGCATCAATTTTGCCACCCTGACACGCCTGATTAAAATATGCTCAATAGGTTGCAACAATTTTGTCACCCCTGATTAAAAGTAAGTTTAAATAGATAAATAACTAAAACTAAACCTCGGATTGTCTTTAACATTATATAAAACTCATAATTTAGCTATTGTATTCTTAAGTACAATTAAATACACAAAAGTACAAAATAAAACAAGTTAAATAAAGGCCAATACACACTACAAAAAAACAAGTTAAAAAGCGGTAAACAATTAGAGCTGGATATGCTGGCTAGCCTGTTTAACCCACTCTGCATATTACATGGTTCTGAGTTTGGTTCGTTTGTAGTTGTTAATGGATTCTGCTATACTGGTCTAAGTTAGTCCAGGAGTAATATGGTGGCTTTAACAAAATACATAAATAAATTGTTTTTATTAAAAATAATTTAAAATAATAATATAAAAATAATTTTTTTCAAAACATTAATTATTTTAAATTAAAATTTATAAAATATAAGTACTAACAACAGAAATTCCAAAAAATACTTAAAAATAATTTTAATACATACTTCAAATTGAATCATTTACCATATTTATGTAATTAGTAGTAATATTTTTTTATCAATAAAGTTTATATTTATTCAGGTTATGAATGAACTTGCGAATCTATGTATTAAATCCGCATAACCGACTATTTAAACGTTCAAACACACACGAGTTAAAATTTAAATAAACTAAAAATAGTGGTTTAAAATCCATGCGGGTGGCGAGTTAAACCTACAGGTTCGCGGATATTCGTCTATATAAGCAGCTCTCTAAGTATGCACAATAGAAATGCAGCAGAGATGCAGTGCCAAGAAATAATGTCCAACATGTAAAAATAAGAGCTAGCTCAACATACAAGCTAGAGATCGTATCATTATTTTTGCATGCCAATATAATGTGACAGAACTAAAACAGGAAAAGAAATAAACTCTCCTATATAGAGTAACCTTAGGTGGGTGAAACATTTTTACCACAAAGATAACTTTCCAAATGAGGCCAATTATTAACTCTTATCCATGTACCTATCAGTCATTTTCCTAGCTCCTCTAGGTTTGCTGCAATTTATTATATCATTATAACTTCTATAAGGGTACAGTTCATGACATTTTCTAATAGGAGAAAACAATCAAGGGACCTACACTGTTACCAAATTGCACCTTCAACTATAACTGATCAACCGATATGCAAAGAAAGGGTTAGAAAATAATATGGACAAGGCATGATAAACAGTGAAAATATTAACTTTTGTATAGTTCAATGAAAATGAGGAAAGGGACTAAACTGGTAACAAAGTTGTTTGGGTGAAAAACCTGGTCATTATTCCAATCCTTGGTGAAAAATTTCACATCAGTACTACTAGCTTTATAAAATCAACTGACTTATTTGTTTTTCTCCCTTCTGGGATTTTGTTTTTCTATGTTATTTAAAATGCAGCAGCAGCTTCAATGCTTCATTTTTGTCCTTTGTGTGGTTTTGGTAAAGCATATGATTAATGCTTCAAGTGTGGTAAAATGGCCCCTCTAAGATCTTTATGTATTTTGTAATGGTCATCTTGGTTTGGTAGGCTTGTTCTGCAATCTGCATGCACATATTAAATACAATTAAGAAATATTAGAATTATTTTTTTATGTAATAAATAGTACTCTTTTGTTTGCAAATTTTAGTTTAGGACTCATATTGTAATGTTGTAGATCATTATCCAGATTCAAATTTAAAATCTTATAGTTGTGTCCTGAACTGATTTTAAGGGTGTGGATGAAGGATTGCAACACATGATTCAAAATTAATTCACATTTGTTTTGTCACGGTTCACGATTGAATAGTGATTTTAAAAAATTACAAAGATTCAGCCGTTTGTATGAGAGTTTTTAATAATTAGAGACTATTTTTTCTTTAATAATTTCATTAAATTTTAATTTTGAATTTCTTTTCTCTAAATCTTTTTTTTAAAAAAATAAAAAAAATCTTTTTTTTAAAAGAAAAAGAAAAGAAAATCTTTTTTTCTTTCAAGAAAAATATAAAAAAATTGATGAAAAATAATAAGAAATAGCATTTATATAAATATTAAGTTAATGTTGAATTTTTAAAATCAAACTAAAACTAGCCATTAGTTATGGGTCTAGTTGTTTAACTTTTTTTGAATAATAACTTTTATAATAATATAAAATATCCTTGAAAAAGACACAAAATTTATGATATTTTATACATTTCAATTATTTAAATAACTCATCCACATTTATTTAATATCCAAACAATTTATTCAAAACTAAAAAATGAAATCCCATTAAACACTATAATATATCCTAAATTAATTTTATACATATTTTAAAGCCAAATTTTAGTGTAGGAGCGCTCCTACATTGACCAACGCTTCTAAATTAAGACACAACTAAGTAGCATGAATATTCAGAATTTCTTAATACAATGATTTTGTCATTTGTGAAACAAGGTTGACTCACTATCGATATTTATATCGATATTTATGTTCTAGAGGAGATATTCTTCTTTCTTTGATCTTTTCTATTAATTTGATATTATATAATTAGATTATTAACTTATATCATTATAATTTAAAATATAAAAAAAATTGATTTTTTTAACAAAACTGAACATTGTTTTATATTTTATGTATGCAAGTCTTATTACTCTTTGTGTTGGTCCAACACATAGCATGTCTATAATATAAAAAAGTAGCAGTAGTTGAGAAATTAAAAGGCACGATGTTTACGTCACTTTCTGTATTAGCAAGTACAAGTGTACAATAGGGCCAGGCCAGTGTATCCCCCTCTCTCTCCTTTGCCAGATTGTTAAGAAAATGACAGCCAAGAAAAAAGGACATTCTAAATATACAATAGAGTAAAAGGGTGTAGGAAAAAAGGTGGTGCTGTATTTATCAATTTCAAGCTTGGAAAACCCATATTACATTATTACTTTTGCCAAAGTAGAATTAAAGATGCATTCTTTGACTGCCTCGTACTGGCGTAAAATTGTACTATAACAAATATAAATTATTAATTAAAAAAATCTAAAGAAAAATTATTATTAAAGATATTTATTTTGTGCATATGAACTACTACTAAGTTATCTACTTCTATTATTGAATCCAATTATAGGATACTCTGTTGTGGATAAAAATAGATCCCAATCTTTTAGACCTTTGAGTAGCTAGGCCATTTAGAAGATTCAAATTTAGGGTAAACGCTGCTACCCCTTTAGTTGTGCATTCCATGAATAGGGTCCCATCCCATTTATCTTTAATTTTGATACTGCCCTTTCTTGTAAGCACCATTAAGACAATTATGAAGGAGGAAAATGTGCATTGGTGTGACCTTTCACCTGTCAAGATTAAGATACATGCATGATTCACAGCCAAACGTTGTGCATCAACCACTTAAGAATTAAAGAAACTCAAATCGAAGTTTTCAAAGTCTTGGAACTAGTTGTATTGCGAATGATTCCTAGGACAATTTGAATGAGGAAAAAACACAACCGCAATTTTGTTTAATTAACATTTGACCATATGCCGAACCTTCAACTATTATTTATTTAAGTTTAAATACACTTTTTTTAAAATTAGTCTTCATTTTCTTCCTCTTTGAAAGCTAGAGATTCAACATTCTCTTTTGATTATCTTTCACTCTTTTCGACCACTTCTTTTTGTTAGGAAAATTCAAATTTTAAGGTTAACCGAATCAATTTTGATGAACAAGATTCAATCTTTCTGATTGATCACACCTCTTTGTTCTTCACCCTTTATTCAGGTGAACCAACCACTCTATGGTTATAAGAGGATCCTATACTACACAGAAAATTGAAA